CGGACAACGCAAGGCAAACACACGAACCACCGAGGAAGGACGGACGGACGGCGATGAACCACAGATGCAGAGCCGGCAAGCTTGGTTAGGGGAGCGACAGGTTTTCTTGGGGTGGATTTCTTTGGGGCGGAGGGAGAGGAAGTGGTCCCACCAGCTACCAAAGTCACCTGGTGTCGACAACCTGCCTCACCAGAAGGCCTATAAGCCTCTCCCTTGAGAGAAAGAGAGCTTCCATGCGACTGAGAGGGCAGGCCAGTGGACCTTCCCGCTGACGAGTGAGTGATGCATGGAAGGAACGGCGCCACAGTATATGCGTTGTCTGGCCCAAGACCTGATAGTTGCTGTACAATATGCACTGTCCGTGTTGTCAATCGCTATTAGTCTGGATATAGATCTCTACTGCGCAGCTTTTGACGAGAGGAAACAAGATAATTACGCGCCGATATAAACGCAAAATGAATCCCCCATCTCCAGCAGTGAGGAGTTCACATCTGATCAGGATATCGGGGACACAGAGATTCCACGACAAGATGGCCTCCGAACTTCCTTGACTCTTCTCGAGTTCCGAGTACCCTTCAATCTTCCTTACCTTCCTCATCCCGCGACTCGTTCCCCGACCGCTCTCTCTCTCTCTCTCTCTCTCTCTCTCTCTCTCTCTCTCTCTCTCTCTCACACACACACACACACAAATGTCTACTTCGTCTGCGAAGCACGACACGCGGCAGCACTCCGCTACCTCCGGCGCGCTTCACGCCCGCGGTCTTGCCTCGCCTAGCCTCGCCTCGCTGATTGCTTTCTTTCCTCCGTTCAGACTTAGGTCTCACTCCTGGACTCACCGAAGGTACAAAAAATGAGAATGAATCATGAGCTAGAACATGGGAAGATACACCGCCCATATTTTTTGTATTTTGTGGATATGGTGAGTAGTGGAGCGAGGCCCTTGAGAGGCCCTTACTCCTCTGCCCTTTCCTCTCTCGATGCCACCCTGCCTCCCGGGCTTTTCTCCGGCGACGGCCTCGAGATATCATCGTTGAGCTGACCGGCCCCAGGTGCATTCCATTCGAATCGCAGGTATATTCGAATACAGAACGCACACAGTTCTATTGGAATCATCGATTTTTTGAAAACTCGAATACAACGCATATGCTTTATGGAAAGACAGTAGGCGGGTTGGTACCTTCCTGCTGGTATATAGACAAGTTGTCGAAGGCCCAGTAGGAGTATATGCAAGAGATGAGAGGTCCAATTGGCGAGCGGCATAGGGGCATTTCGCCAAGAGCATGCCTTTTAGGGGTATCTGACAGAACACCCCAACTTTCAGAGGCGTTTCAAGAGATTTTCCATTTTTTTCCCCTTCCCCTACCTCCCGCTTTGGACAGGCCTAGGTAATTTGCAGCCAGGAGGCTGCGCTCGTGTGGGTTCCATTTTCGTCGTTTCATTTCTTTCTATTTTCGGTAAGGTCGTGCAGTACAGCTTCACTAGGACGGGTTCGTTTGGGGTCTCCGACAGCAGAAAATAGGGTCCGGTCGCAGTCGTCCTTAGGACCAGTCGTAGGGCAGGTTGTATTGTCGAGGTCGTTGCAATTTAGTATAGGGTGCCATCCATTGTTTCCCTTTTGAGGGATATAGGTTTTTCCCGTTGCAAACTGAGGGCCGGCGATATGGGTCTGGGTGGGCGATTTGGGTCTGGGTGGTTTCTGCGTTTGTTTTTTTTCTCTTCTACTGCATCTTCCCAGAAATACAGTATCAAAGCATTCTGCTGTTTACTACACCCAAGTAATGAAACCTAGAACGGACTGCCCTGCCTCTTTGGCAGGGCTTTCTAAGAAAAGAAAAGAAAAAAAAAAAAAAACGTATTGAAAAAAAAAAGAAACTCAGTTGGTAAGGCAGGCAAGTGGAATTCAGGAGGTCTTGGGTTCAATCCCCATTGGCCTCGTGTACCTTCCTGGGCATGCTTGGTGCCTGCCACCTAGAGATAGCCCGTTGGTCCCCCCAGTTGGCATTACAAAAGCAGTCTCTGCTGATGTTCATAGGGGGAGGGGTAATCGGGGAGGCACAGCGACTGGCCACTCAGATGATGCTCGGTCCCTCTGCTATCGACTGTCCCCTGGCCGCGTCTGAGTTGTTCGCCTTCCCAGTACTCGCGATACTCCGGGTTCCTCAGACTTTCATGATCGGTGATCCAAAAGGGAATTTCCACAGCCATATCCGGCTCGTGAATTCGGTTTCCCGCATCCTTATGATGAATTCGAGGTCGACTCATGCGGACGCGCGCGTACGCTGCGACTCGGTTTTCTCGAGATCGCGGTCGTACGTGAGCGTGCGCATGAGCGGAAACAAATCAGATTCGGGTTTCTCGTGTCGAGGTAGCGATTATGTCCTACATGCATGCAATTATCTTATCCATACTATGTTGGGTGAAATCCAAGCATTACATTCACATTCATGTCATTCACGTGACAAAAGGAGAGGGAAGGGGAAAGGACAATCAACACATCACAGCATCCTTGGTGATCTGATGACGATCGAAGACCAACGATTAAACTCAAACGCAGTAGCGAGTGCTTTCAATCAGATCTGAGAGTATTGCTCATACAGATGGATAATAGAATTAAACAGGCATCGCAAAACAAGATTGGAAATCCGAAAAGATCACTAATGAAAAAGAGTTCACATCCATTCCATGCATACACACGAGGCAAAAGCAACAAAGAAAATCCGAGACGATTTACAAGGAAAAGTTCGAAAAGGCCGCAACAAAATTGGCCAAAGTATAAATCAAAACTGCGGGTGAAACTGGGGAGGATTGGGAGGGCGATTCAATCAAGTTTCTTCGGCGACGCCGGCTTCTCGATCCCTCTGTTGTGGTGCCTTCATCTCTCTCGGCCTCTTCTTGTGGTGGTTCTGGATTGAGAGTCGGATCGCCCTGTAGCAGCTGCAGTGGTGACCCTCCCGATTCTTCGATCGACCGCTTGCCTTCTGCTTCTGCTCGTTTTCTTTGTGCCACGGCCTCCCTTTCTTCCCTGCTCAACTCGTCAGGACCACTAAATTTACCCGATCCACCTTCTTCTTCCTCTGATTCCGCCCGCCCTGGACTGGCTTCTTCCGACTCGGCGTCCTCCGATTCTTGATAATCGGGATCGTCTGATTCAACCCCCGATTCCTCTTCTTCTGGCGTTTCCTCTCCTTCCGTATACTGAAGATTATCGCCCCCCTCGGTTTCCTCCTCTTCTTCCTCCTCATCGACCTCCTCGCCGGTCTCTCCTGCGTTCACTCGCCGAATAAGAGAATCCCAGGATGAGAGATCAGTGATGTCGATGACCAGGTATGCACCTCTCGAGGGTAAGTAGTAGCTACCCTCCTCCAATTTCGTACAGGTGGACCAAAGAAGATGCGGCTCCAGGGTACGAGCGAGCGTGGCTGTTCCCGGCTTCCCGTCACGATGTGGGAGGACCTCGAATGGCAGATCGTCCAGTACTTGGGTTAGAAACACCAGCAACTCGTCCGTAATGGAGCTCAGATGGCCGTCGCGCACTTCTCCGAATAAGATCCCCAAAAAATCTCCCTCTGTGTCCGTTCTCCACCCCTGGATGAGCAGCAACTCCACCTCGTCGTCCGGGATTTCATCCTCCACACTCCTGTCCGTGGGTTCCGCCCAATGGAAAGCGACCTCGAGAAGGCAAAAATTGAGCGCCACGTAGGCTTGCCACCATTGCGTCCACTTGGCCGCGTCTAGAATCGATACATCCAATTGCTTGATTGTGAAGGACAAAGACGCTTCCTTGGCAGATTGCCAAAACGTGGGAACATCAAAGGGGAGGCTGAAGGTAGAGAGACGGTGGCGGCTCATTGAGGCCGAGCGAAGGGACGAAGCGCTGGAAGGGTGACTTCTAGCGCAGTGGAGGAGAGCCGAAGTTGAAGATCGATGTCGTTGGTTGTTACGACACGATCTTGCAGTCGGGCCAATAATCGCACCCAGTCAGTCGTGATGTGTGTTGTCCAGTCTCGCAGCTGTCGGAGGATGGCGGTGTGTCGTGCTGGATGCAGTGTCGTAATGTCTCCTTTAAAGACGACAATGACTGACACGTGGCTCTCACCGGGTGCGGACAAGTGCAAAAAGGCTGACACCTCGGCCAACACTCGTGCCACCCCAGTCTGCCCGAATTGGAACTTCGCCTCCACGTGGATGGCCGTTGTACTGAAGAGGGCCGCGAATCGGAGAAGATCTGGACTCAATCGAGGATGCCGTACTTGTCGGATCTCCGAGAAGGCTCCCCCAGGCACCATCAGACGCTCACTGGTCACCTGCTCCGTCAAAAAGCTCATGGCGATGGGAGCGGAGTCGAAGACGATGACGGGGAGAGGAAAGAGGATGCTAGAGAGTTGTCGTCCTCTTTCTGGCCGAGGGACGATACAGATGATGGAGGAGAAGGGGATGAGGGGAGAGGACGAAGGTAGGACATGTGTCGAATGATCGGTCGAGCCGATCGACTCCCTGACACCTCTGGCGCAAGCCGCACTGTGCTCACTCCGCTTGGACCGAGCTCAACCACGTGAAATCGCCCGAAGAATCGTGGCGCTAGCTTGCCTCGGCGAGCACATTTCCTCACCTGCACGATGTTCCCTAATTTATACTTGGGCCGAGGCCCAGCGTTCCCATTCAGGGCCTCGTAACTCCTGACTTGTCTCCCATGGGCCATTTCCGTCATTCGTTATCTTTTTCGAGCCAGCCGTGGGAGGGTTTTTTCCATTAGTTCTAGGTGGCGCTGGGCCTTATCCTTAATCGTCGCTCTAGTGGTCTGTCGTGGAAGGGCCGTCTCATCATTCAGGCTCAGTAGGGCTACAGAGGGTAGGTTATCGGTTCGTAGTTGGAAGGGGGTCTGGCCCGT